TGCGGAGAGATTGGGGATGTAGCATGGAGTGCAGAGAGAGATTGGGGATATAGCATGGAGTGCAGAGAGAGATTGGGGATGTAGCATGGAGTGCAGAGAGAGATTGGGGATGTAGCATGGAAGGCGGGGAGACAGGGAGCACATAGCACATGTTTTGCTGGAAGAGTGCAGAGAGCTTCGTTAGCTCGAATAGATCTGGCTGGCTAGACAGAAGCTAAGCATTTGGTGCATGGGCTCCCTGCCATGTGTGTGCGTGGTGAGAGGCTGCATGCGAACGATGCAGTGTGCGAGTGCTGAAAAAATGGAGCAGGTGAGCTCTGTTTAATGACTTGTAAGAGTCCATCAGTTACATCCCATTGACATATTCATGTTTCCACCTGCACTCCGTTTTATTCTTCTGTGCTTGTATAGTGAATGTAGGGCAGGGATGGATATTTACGGAGCATGTGGTGGTGTAAATAGTGCCTCTGGGGTAGAGCTTTCTGTATGATCCGTATTGGTGTGTGTTTCTTGGTCCTTTTTGATCAATAGAGGCTTGTGAAATCAGGAACAAGTTGCCACTTGTGAACACAGACCAGTAACATATGCACTTACTATACATAATCAGTACGGAGCACCAGAAGTCAGTCACTAGAATGAGTATAGCCAGTATTTATGTTGTACATTTCATTCATTCACATGTTGTGTCATGTAGCTGGGAATTCTGCTCCCCAGGGTAACGTTTAGTTGCTGAGCTATGCTATGAATAAAGCTTGTATTGTACATGGCTCCTGTCCTCCAGCGTGCCTCTAAAATAGTATGAATGTGTGATAGTTGGATGCAGATTTATGTGTATTTCAGGAACCCGTGAATGTGAATCTGCTGTGTGTACACACCTGGTACCCTTGGATGTGAATCTGTGTGTACGCCAAGAACCCGTGAATGTGAATCTGCCGTGTGTGTGTACTCCAGGTATCCGTGGATGTGAATCTTCTATGTGTGTGTGTGTACTTCAGGTACCAGTGGATGTGACAGCAGGTAGGTTATGTCGATCTAGAACATTGGGGTCCTGGTTAACATGGATTCACTGACTACTAGTAACATTGTTCCATAATGTACCACTATAGACCCATTTGTAATATACTATATTTATAATAAATTGGAGGCAATCATCGTACCCCCTTGTCCCAATACTGTTTACTTATATTTTGCTCTAATCACTCTCAGTCAAGTCTATAGGAGGTATAGATTACATCATTCTAAGTGCTTGTCACCCCAAGTCACCATAAATTAATCATAGTTAGTGTTCCTCAGCAATGTAATGTACACTTACTATATATTGCAGGACACACTGTATCTTAGAAAAGATTTTTTAAAGTGCTGGAGTTGTGATAAAATGCCACGTGCTGTTTGTGCAGCACCCACAGCTTTTACGCAAAAGCCCCTATCAGAATTTCCAACACAAAATTACAGGTTAACCCCCTCATGCTCCACTGTGCCTAAGAGATCATTATCTGGGGGGGGGAAACATAATTAAATTATCTCTCAGGTACAGAAAAATCTACAATTTCTAAAGCAATCATGTCCCCCCTCAAGTCTTATATTCCCGGATCTGAGCGCCCAACCTATCCTAAAAGCGCTCAGATATACAGACAAAATGCCACTGGGGTAGTTTCAACCGACCACACACAAGGCTCCTGCCCAAAATAGTTTCATAGAATCAGTGGTAGCGGTCTCTTTCGGGAGTACAAAAACTAATAAACTACCGAATGTAGTCCATACTCATAACGTGGAGCTTGTTCCCCTAATCCATACGAACGATTCCACCAAACAGAGCTCTTCTAGGATGTAAAGAACTGAACGGGGACGGAAGTCCAGCAGTGTTCGCAATGTCGAGTGTCCGATTTTAGTTCCATGCAGTCGACGAGCAAACACCACAGCCTGCGTTCGCATGAACAAGATGGCCGCCACCATGTGTTTGTCCATACGAAAAGCGGCCACCCAGATGAACACTTAGAACACTGAGGTGAGAATCGTTACAAGGTGTCAATAGGGTTTAACGAGCATCCGGTCTTTAGTTTGTGGATTTGTTCGGTTCCCAAACACAATAAGGAAATTTCACCAACACAGTCTTTTAACATGTCTTTTTACATGGCCCATAGTCTGTGGGCAGGAGGCTAGCCAGCTGGCCCCTCCAGAAACACATGGCAGAGGCATCTTTGCCACATGCAATGTGATGATGTGTGTAAGATCCCATTTGTGCAGTGTGACGGAGTAAGAGATCCCATTTGTGCAGTGTGACGGAGTAAGAGATCCCATTTGTGCAGTGTGACGATGTGAGTCATGCTAGCGGCAATATATGGGATAGCTGTACGGTACACTAGTGGCGATATATGGGATAGCTGTACGGTACACTAGTGGCGATATATGGGATAGCTGTACTGTACACGAGTGGCAGTATGTGGGATAGCTTTATGGTACATTAGTGGCAGTATGTGGGATAGCTTTATGGTACATTAGCGTCAGTACATGGGATAGCTGTATGGTACACTAGCAGTCTGCTGAAAACAAATAGAGGCTGGATTGTATTCTTTTGTGAGCAAGCTGTTCGTTCTAATCCCAATAGCTGATCCTTTCCTCACTGGTAAAGGGTTAAGAAAGACTGTAAAGTCTTTAAAAGCTTTGAGGTAAGGCTGAGGTATGTTCCTATAAAGAGCTCTAATCCTAATCTCTTTAGTAATGACCTGGATTCTAGTTAAGCAAACTGAAATAAGTGAGGGCAGTTTGGGGGCTGGCAGGCCGACAGCTCCCTTCTCTTCTAGGGGGGCAAATACTGCCACAAGGGTAATTAATAAGCAGAATATGGAATCAGGAAAGGTACTGCACAGTATGTGTACACATTGCTCTGTAAACCATGCCGTATTTGAACAGAGGGTGTGATCTGCAATGTGACCTTGTGGAGCGTGGTAATGTGAGCCTCTTACCATTGTGTCCTGTGAAGCACTTAGTCAGCACACCTCCATTCTCAGTTTTCTATAGCTGTATGAAGGGATGCTATATCCATTATTTGACCAATCAGGAGATCACAAATTGAATTGCTGTGGGCAGTCCAGTCTTCACTACAAGCATGGTATTTAATGATGCATTGCCCCACTCCAGCTGTGAAAGCTGTATGCCATTCAGATCCACGAGTTATTGAAAGACTTCCAGGTAAAAGAATTATATGCAGTGCATGTCTGTCTGCTAAAAAAAACACTCCAAGGACCATGACTACTACAATGCACTATAGTGATTATGGTGACAGGAGTGACCTGGTACCCTCTCTGGAAGTAGTCAACCATTTGCAAACAGACTTCTTACCTTGGGACTGGACACTGCCTCCACTACTTCCAATAGAGATCTGTCTGAGCCAAGTCTTGGCTCATTGGCTGAGAGCGCCAGCTGATTGACCCAGAAGAGCCAACGCAGGCTCATAAGCAGGAGCTTCTAGCACTCTGTGGGAAGTAGTAGCGGCAGGAAAAGACCCCCAGTGAAACTAAAGTAAGAAGGACTGTTGCTTCAACACCCTTCCCATTTCTCTCATTACATCTACACATCCCACACTACTTCTTTATATCTCTTACTCCGTATCACCGCCATACAGCTCCTCATACCATCTCTTACTCCGTATCACCGCCATACATCTCCTCGTACCATCTCTTACTCCGTATCACCGCTATACATCTCCTCCTACCATCTCTTATTCCGTATCACTGCTATACATCTTGTACTCATTATCACCGCTATACATCGCCTCGTACCATCTTACTCAGTATCACCGCTATACATCTTATGTCATCTCTTACTCCAGCTCACCGCTATACATCTCCTTGTACCATCTCTTACTCAGTATCACCGCTATACATCTCTTCATACCATCTCTTACTCAGTATCACCGCTATACATCTAATACCATCTCTTACTGACCTTTGCCGCTATACATCTCATGTTAGAAAGTTCCTGAGAATGATAGCAAACTATCTTTAGTATAGCAGGTGGCCAGTGGCCATATTATGGTAAATATGAAACTCTAAGTTACACATTAAAAGTGGCAAATTTCTAATATGTTGTTTCATCATGAAGGAGATGTGAGCCAGCTTTGGGATTTTTTTCTAAAAACCTAGTTCTGGTAAGGTTGCAGTCATTGCCAAAAGACTCACAGCTCTCCATGGAGTTCAATGGGACTTCACGCTGGAGCTCACCACATTTTATGAACTAAACTTAATGGGTTTATTGAAGTGATCAGGTCCAAGGGAAGAAATATTCAAAAATATAAACATGTTGTGCACTTTTAAAAATTTATATTAAATGATCCCCCCCACTCTGCCTAGCTGTAATATAATGGAAACCATCCAATGATATCCATAACAGATTAATTTGAGATAAAATGTAAATATTTGGACCCCTATAGATCTTTCTAAAGCCTTGATGGGAAAAATAACTGAGAACATGGAAGGAAGAGTGAACTAGGTTTTATAACACACCTCCAATCTCTGCAAGCTTACCTGGTTAGTTACCAGAAGCCCTGTACTACTCGTAGCAGTGCAGTTATTCCAAGATGTAGTATTTAGGCCAACTATGAATGGTACCTCAGGACCGCACACATTACTCAGAGCAGAGATTCCTGGCTGCATTTGGGAACATAATTGCTCAGCACTGTAAGTAAGAATGAGGATTACATTTCTCCTTTGATGTGCTTCCTGTGTAGGGATCATATTCACAGATAAAGCTGTGTCTGCCAGGAATAATGAACAAGTACCTTCACAATGAATCATGGAGGAACTCACCTACTTGTCTTTCTTGCAGGAATACCGCTCCTGGGTTTCCTCTTCTTGCTTCCTCTACAGATTCAATGGCGTCAGCTGTCAGTGCCATGGCTTGGTGTGGTACATTACCTGGCATGTGTTAGCCCTCAACTAGGCAGTGTCCTGTATCATCTCTTCATGAACCATCATGGGGGGGCAACAGTCTATCGCAAACTGCTAACTCTCGACATGTGTGGAATCTGCCTGGTTAACACACTGGGTGAGTTCTCTGCCACAGGGCTCCCCATTTGACGGTGTACATTAGCGACAATTGCTTATCAAATGATCACGTGCCGTGTGCTTAGGTAAAAAGTGCATATATGATTATACACTATATAAATCCATAGATAGATAGATAGAATCAGGGCTTGTTCAGTTTATACACTATATAAATCCATAGATAGATAGATAGATAGATAGATAGAAGCAGGGCTCGCTCTGTTTATACACTATATAAATCCATAGATAGATAGAAGCAGGGCTCGCTCTGTTTATACACTATATAAATCCATAGATAGATAGAAGCAGGGCTCGCTCTGTTTATACACTATATAAATCCATAGATAGAAGCAGGGCTCGCTCTGTTTATACACTATATAAATCCATAGATAGAAGCAGGGCTCGCTCTGTTTATACACTATATAAATCCATAGATAGATAGAAGCAGGGCTCGCTCTGTTTATACACTATATAAATCCATAGATAGATAGAAGCAGGGCTCGCTCTGTTTATACACTATATAAATCCATAGATAGATAGAAGCAGGGCTCGCTCTGTTTATACACTATATAAATCCATAGATAGATAGAAGCAGGGCTCGCTCTGTTTATACACTATATAAATCCATAGATAGATAGAAGCAGGGCTCGCTCTGTTTATACACTATATAAATCCATAGATAGATAGAAGCAGGGCTCGCTCTGTTTATACACTATATAAATCCATAGATAGATAGAAGCAGGGCTCGCTCTGTTTATACACTATATAAATCCATAGATAGATAGAAGCAGGGCTCGCTCTGTTTATACACTATATAAATCCATAGATAGATAGAAGCAGGGCTCGCTCTGTTTATACACTATATAAATCCATAGATAGATAGAAGCAGGGCTCGCTCTGTTTATACACTATATAAATCCATAGATAGATAGAAGCAGGGCTCGCTCTGTTTATACACTATATAAATCCATAGATAGATAGAAGCAGGGCTCGCTCTGTTTATACACTATATAAATCCATAGATAGATAGAAGCAGGGCTCGCTCTGTTTATACACTATATAAATCCATAGATAGATAGAAGCAGGGCTCGCTCTGTTTAAACACTATATAAATCCATAGATAGATAGAAGCAGGGCTCGCTCTGTTTATACACTATATAAATCCATAGTTAGATAGAAGCAGGGCTCGCTCTGTTTATACACTATATAAATCCATAGTTAGATAGAAGCAGGACTCGCTCTGTTTATACACTATATAAATCCATAGATAGATAGAAGCAGGGCTCGCTCTGTTTATACACTATATAAATCCATAGTTAGATAGAAGCAGGGTTCGCTCTGTTTATAATATATATATATATCTCCATAGATAGCAGAGCTCACTGTTTATACACTATATAAATCCATAGATGGATAACCTTGCGGTGGCTAAATGTACTTATTGAGATGCAATGAATCATGGGAATTGTTGGTTACACCAGTGTTAAACTGAAAATCTAATTTTAGCTGATTTAGAAAAATGTTCAAGTTTTGCTGAAATAAGTGTTTTCTTGAATACCCACATAGGTGGAGCCCCGAGTAACAGCTCAGCATGTTAATTGTCTTATTGTGGACATATCTTTCCTAATGTATTTATTTTCCTACAGGTGCCCTTCCAATCATTTACTGTACTCTACTCTGCTATCCAGCCACTCGGAGCCTGGCCCTCCTGGTGTACTCTGCCTTGTCCAGTTATGTCATTTTCTGTGCAGTCAGTGCTCACAGTAACATTAGCCGCTTTTGTTCATTTACCTGGCAGGCTGCCTTCCGCTTTTATTTTTTCTATCTGCGCTGGGCAGGGCTGGGGTCTGGACACCCCTCCTCATTACGCTGCTACCTCCTCATGGATGGTCTTGCCCTACTTGGGGGAATTATCAACATTTCCCGCCTCCCTGAAAGATTGCGTCCAGGCAAATTTGACTACTGGTGTAATAGCCACCAAATTATGCATGTCCTGGTGGTGATAAGCATTCTGTATCTGCACTGGGGTGTGACTTCTGACCTCACCTGGATTAGCAGTCATTCCTGCCCTCTGGAGTGAAGCTAAGGCCCCGTTACCTAGATCTGGTTAATTGTAGTTAAGCTCAGTCTTCAGAAGAATGGTGAAGAAGACTTGAGCTAGCAGAGCTGGGAATCCAAGCTCTAAAAATCCTCTAGTGGCC